CTGCCACCCCTGTGGTGGCAGTACGTAACAAGACCCCGTGAAATTCCCATGTAAAAGTGTTATTTCACGTGAGAATGGAAGCGGTCTGTCTTCCGTAGGCAGTAGGCATGTCAGTGACCGCATGCTACTCTTAAGAAATACAAAATAAAGCCAAATAAAGTAAAATAGAAGGCATTTTGCTAACGTGCCGTTCTTCTGCTGCAGCATGCACGCACTTCCCGTGTGTGCAGTGTAGGATGGATGATGGTTAACATCTACACTGTGTACCTAACGTGTCAGAGAATGCTCACCAGTCCGTGAGAAGTTTTAATGGGATACTGGCACCAGAGCAAGTTTACAGGTGAATGGACACGGCAGCTTTCGTGGTAAGAGTCAGAGAACTCAACTATGAGGCTGAAAAAATTTGCCACATAAAACTCGTGCTCCTGGGGAAGGAGCATGAGCCTAAAGGGGTGGGAGGAGCAGATGTACTGGGGCACTGGGTCACATGATAAGCAACTGAACTGAGAATAACTCTGTGTGGCCAGAGCCTGGCTCCCACCATGGAGAAACGGGGAGGAAGGAGGGCCTGGATGAAAATTAGTGGTTTCCATCAGCCTGATAACTTGGAATTGGTACTAAATGGTAGTACGTTTGTGCTACAGCGGGAGTTTGAAGGTACGGACAGCAACAGACATTGGCTTTGGTTGCTCCTGGAATGGGAGTGTTTCTAGCCTTGCTTAGGGATAAAGGATTCCTGCCTTCCCTCCCCACCTCATTAGGCTTTTGGCTGCATTTTTTACCAAGGTATGACTTAAACCTTCCTTACATTGTCGTGCTTTCTTGCTGCCATGGATAGCGTTGCTGTAGAGCACCAGAAGAAGGTTCATCATCCCCATATAAACCAAATCCAAGGTAAGTACAGAACTCTCTCAGTTTAAGCAAGTAGCCTGCTGAGGAATGTGGCTTTTTTGTGCTCATTTATGGATCACAAACAGCTCCAGCAGCCGGTGCCCTGTGACAAACTACGGACAAAAGCTGTTTGCTTCCAGCCACGTTCCCAAAGCATCAATACAGGAAATTTTGGCAATGCTTCTGCTCACCTCTCAGTGAATAAGAACAGATGGGATATGGCCACCTGGTACAAGCTCACAGGAAAACCCTGCCTCGTCTGCTCTTCTCCCGTTTTTGGAGCTAGAAGGGAGGAGATTTGGGTTACCTAATCTGACTGTGATCCTACAGAAGCTCTTTGGTTGTACCATATTTAACCTTAAGGCTTAATTTTTCCATGAACTCCAATGTATGTCTTGAAGATAACGAGATGGCAAAGGCACTAATGTCAGCTGTTTTAAGCACTAAACGTATTTAGCTTCAGTACAACAAAAGGCTTTAATCTGGATGGTTTTTAGAAACTGTACAAGGCCCTCCTCAGTAGGCCTGCATGCTAAAACATGCCTGATTTTTTTTTTGGAAAAAAAAAAAAGACTTCACATGTTCCACTGTAGAAAGCTTCAGTTTTATCAGGCAGCCAGGTCTGTTCTATCCCTCCGTTAGTCCAAAGGCAGCAGCAGAATTGAGGGGTGTCTTGTTTCCAGCATGGCTGTTCAGCACCCCCTTCACCTCCAGCCTGTTCACCTACGGAGCGTGGAGCTGTTTTCTCTCCGCTCAGGTATCCGTGCTTTTCTCGGCTCTTTTTCAGTACCGAAGGAACTTGTTCATAGCCAGAGTTCCGACCTGTGTCCCTTTTTTCCGACTCGTTAAAGGTTTCTACCACAGGCTCTGCTCTACCAGCACTGCATTTCCCCAAATTAAAATGCTGATTTGCGTGGGCCAAATCCACAGGGAAATAAAACATGACAGGGCAAACCCAGCTCGCCTGCCTGCCCCTCAGCCCGGCACAAGCAGCCCCTGGCTCGGAGCCAGAGCTGTAACTGGGCGAGTGCTGGTGGTACGGGCAGGTGGTGGGGCACAGCCGGTGGGTGTACTCCAAGCGGGGCTTAACTTCTAGTCAGACAAATGTAAGCTTAGAAAAACTGAGCCCTCTTCCTGTGCCTCACCTTCCCCAAAACAGTTATCTCTGTGCTCTGATTGGTAACTGAAACGGTGCAAACACCAAAATACTCCTTTTTTAATTATGTGCCATTTGGCACCCTCCCTCCCTCTCAGCCAACTAATCACCATTTTTTTTTTGGCTAGAAAACAGTAAAAAGTCTCTCCTGTAGAAAGACTTGTACAAACACCTGAGCAGGACTGACTGATGTTCCTTAACGTGACGGATAGCCCACATCCCAGCAGTAAAATCCAACAAAAACCCCATCGCACGACAAAAGAGACATTTTGCACGTGCAGCTGCAAGTGAACGAGATCCGCTGTAGAGACAGCAGGATACGCTTCAAAATGAGAGTGCCTGGCCAAGCAATCGTGAGAGACAGCCACAGAGGGAGAGGGGGGATGAAACTACCATCCTTTTGGAGACAGGACATCCTTCCAGCCAAACCACCCTGAGTTTTCCTTTAACATCTTCATGACTAATGGAAACCTCTGGATGAAAATTAATATCGCAGAGGCAAGGAAATAAATCAGGCTGCTGAGCGGTAGCTGCAAGCGGGAGCAGGAGCAACGTCCTCCCTCTCCACCTTTGGTCCTGAGGAAGCTGAACAAAACAAATTCTTCGGTCAGTCAGGAGCGTGTGGTAAATTCCGGCTGTAACGTGAGCAGCATTGACAGCGGCAGCTTTCCTCCTCCGGCAAGAGGAGCTGAGCTCCAGCTCTGCAGCAGGTGCACAAACATGTTGCATTATCTGCGCTTCCTGGCCAGGCAACAACAGTGAGGGACAGAGAAACGTCATCAGTTACTGGTTAATGGGAATTCCCTCTGCTCTGCTCCCGCCCTTCCCGTGCACATCAGCAGACCACAGCTGTACATGGGTTTATTTACTCATTCTTTAATTCTCTCTTGCTTCTGTTAGATGCCGATGGAACCTGCGCGACCTTCAAAAGTCTGATGAAGGACACCGCTGGTATCCAAAGTTCTGGAAGCAGAAAGTCTTTAAGAACTGAAATGCAGAAGTTTTCCAGCAGTTCTTTATTTATAATGTAGGCTTAAGCAATCATTACAATGTAGAAGGGAGACACACTTACAGCAATTATTTATACCAGTTTAGAACAAAAAACTGCACAGGGAGAGGTCAACTCTCAGTACAAACTAGCAACTAAACCACAATAATTTACCATTAGAAACATTTTATTTTTTAGCTGTGACACTGCTTTTACAATATGCAAAAACACAAACAATAGAACTATCCAAAGTGTTTTGTCACATTCTTTCTACATTGAATTTGGCAACATTTTATATTAAATTTTACCGATTATACTAACGTTTAAGAACTAAACAAGTGAAAAGCTGTACTCAGGTACAGTTACATCCATTTATTTCAAAGGTTTAAATAACACTTTTAACTATCGAGATTATCTCCTAGCAGTTCTTGTTTATGCAAAAACCACCTCAAAGCCTCATTTGCACAATGCATCAGCTACTGTATCAAGATTGGTGGGCTACACCACAGGCACTACTGTTGATTATATTCTGTAATAAGGAGCTTGTTTTTCAAAGAAAGGAAGGTTTAATATTTTCTAAGAATCATGCCTTTTTTTTTTCTTTTTGCTTTTACGCCATAACAAAAAAAAAAAAAGGTTCGCAACCACAGCAGTGTAAAATGTTATACAGAACACAGCGACTACACAGTTACTAGGAGTTTCACACCCAATGCAGTTATGCGTTAAAGCGTAAGAGGTTACGCAGGCAAGTCTAGAGCCAACGGAAATCTGCAGAGCGTGGGCTGGGAACGAGCCCCTCGGACGTGTATCTGGTGCATTTCAAACAATCCCGGGGGCGTGAGCCGGGTGCCCCCCCACGCGGGTGGGTCTGCCGTGGCCGGGCAGGTGGCATCCCTCTGGACCGTCGGTCGGATCGGAACACGTGTCGTGCCCCGGGGTCTGCACATTTCTGTCAGCTTTAGGAGACGGGTATTGCGGCAATAACTTACTTTTACTTCAAGGAAAAAATCCAACTCTTAATAATTCTATCAACAGCGTTCCAAAAAACATGACTTAAAAGTACAAAAAAAGAGAATATAGTGGTCAGACTCCCGGTATTATCAAAAAACCAGTATCTCTCCCCACCCCCCACCCGTCACCCCTCTCTTTTCGGTATTTAAGAAAAGCCAATCAAGTGCCATTTAAAAGAAGTTAAGAAAAACAAGCCCCTGTATTGGAAAGAAACATTCGCGGTTTATTAGAACACAAGCTGGTTACACCTGTCAAATTGTTAAGTGTTTTCTCAAAATATTTGGGCTTTCCAAGGTGCCCAGCCTGCTGGGCACAGTCAGAAAAAGGCATTTTGATAGTATCTAAGAACTCCCTGCGTGCATTTTAAAAATGTTTTCACGTTCGCAACTGCCTGAAGCCTGTCGTCCTTGTCGGTGTTGGGTGAAAGGATGGGTGGAACAAAAAGCGGAGGTGGAAGAACCACGCCTACACAGTTACGGCTGCATGCATGTGGCTGAGAGTTGCTGCTGTGCAGTCAAAAAAGAAACATGGAAAAACCCCAGTCTCCAAAACACCCCACGGAAACAGAACACTGCAATCCAGTATGGCTTATTCTGATGCATTTACCATGAAGCTACTAGTAATTAATCCTACTAGGCTACTTTTGTGCAACGGCATCTGCTATTTTGATGGCATCTCCCTCCCCCCACTACCCCCCAAATACTCTACCAACTGCAGGTTTCTTCCTTGCATTATATATTGCTTTTATTGTCAATTTTTATTCCTGCTTTTCAAACGTTTTTTTTATACTTAAACAAGGATCCGTTCCTTACAGCTTGACTTAAACTTTAAAATAAGTCCCATTGTTTTGTTTTGCTTTTTAACCTCACTATTACAAGGCGCTCTACAAAAGCTTGCAAAAAAGCCAAATTTTCATTAAATCCCTTTGCTGAAGTTAACTACTCAACATTTTTTTTTTTCTCCTATGATTTAAAACTTTACAAAGAGAGTTATAAAAAAGGTAAATGGGATTTGGCACCTTCAGAAAAAATTAAAAGTGTAACTTAGATCAAAAAAATGCAGAAACAAAATCATTGATATTTACAAATTAAAACACCAGTGAAGATGATGTCTTACTACGCTCTTTCACCTTGTTTTCTCTTTTAGAGTACTTTCAGACTGTCTGTTACCGAGTATCTTAAAAAATTCATTGATTACAGATTGGAATGGATAGAGACAAATTAGTTTCCTCACAGTTCCTTCTCGGCGGCGGGTACTCTGGCAGCTTTTCCACTCCTAGGAAATACGAGGTGCTGAGCGATCATTCGTGGTCGTCTTCTTCAGTTTGACACCACGCCGAATGGCGTTCAGCATATCTTCACCTTGCGGGACATCGCCGGGACTCAGCTCCCCAGGATCGAGCTCTGGCTGGCCCGCGGGCGCCAGGGTGCCGACACCATCCCGGTCGCTTTCTTCCCCCTCACTCTCGGGAACCGCTTGCCTCTGCTCGTCGGCAGCACTCAGTTTCTGGCTTGATGGTGGAGGGTTGACGGATGCTTGTCCGCTCCACGAGGATGAGGGCATGTTGGTGACACCTTGCCCACCATCTCCTGCTGCGGGAGATTCGGGACTTTGCTCAGGACATTCTTCTGTCCCAGCGAGGATGCCGGGCAGCCCCCCTGGGATATCGGGGACAGTTGGTGTTTTGACAGGAATCACTGGCGTCTTGATGGGAATGGGACCTCCCCCTATGGTACCACGTCTGACGGAAGGCTTGGTGGAAGGGGTCCGTCTGATGGTGGCGACGCCGGGGGTGACTATGACCGGTCCAAGTGTGGTTGGCAGACCTGCAGTGGAAGCAGGACGCTTGGTTTGAAACATTCTGCGATAGGACTGGCTAATGTCGCTGTTTCTTGGGATGGTGGAAGATTTGTCAAACTCTTGTTGTTCTGCTTCCTGGTCACCACTCACAGAGAAATAATCATAATCTGAAACTGATGCCAAAAGACAGAGTTAGGAACAAGCTGGAGAAGACAGCTGAGTCACGTCAGTAAGTCTGAAGTGCGCATAACCAAAAAAGCCTGGAGGTCAACAGCAATTATGAGAGGTTTCACCTTTAGGAGGAAGGAAGCCTGAGACACTGTGACCAAGACTCTGGGACTGCACGGCGGAAGGCAGGCGCTACCGCAGACCGACCCCACAGCTGCAGAGTGCCCACGTCTTGTGAGAGAGAGCGAGAACTGTGCACGCTCAGTACCTTCTCTGAAAAGAACCAACTGAGTAACGAAGACTTGAATGTTTGTTGCCAACATTAAGGTACCGAACCCAGCATCCTACAAGCCATATGCTACCACTTGTAGATACACAGACTTAACACAGTCAGTGACTAAGGAGAGTGCTTTAGACTAGGCAATGTGGAGCTCAGGGGACCGTGTACCAGTGACTTCAGCAGCAAATCTGCTTGTTTTGCAAACACAGTAAATCCCAGCTGCCAGCTCTGAAAACAGCCTCAGCTTTAATAACTGCACCAGGTTCCTTCCTTTCCATGTAACTGCTGAGCCACGCTAGGCCCTCCGCAAGCCCTACGGCCTCTTGTGATTGCACAGCACGACCGACCTCAGCCGAGCAAACACGGCGGTTTCTGAACTGCAAACACCAAACTCAGTCCCTCTCAGCTTGCTGCTGGTTCTGAAACAGGGCATAAACCCAACACCTTGTTGTATCTTCCCAGGGATGCCCACGTTAAGGTCTCCAATGGATTCCTTTTCCAATTACGACAATTTCTGCTTAGGTAGGAAATAAAAAGGAAACCAAGAGCAGATTCAGATTACTGATGGAGCAAGAAAGCAAAGCATGGAGCAAGAAAGCAAAGCTCATGAGCGCGTATTTGCTAAGACAATAGCTCTGAGGTGACACTACTACTGCAAGAAGTGTACGATGCAATACCAGTGTCATTCTCCTTAACCCATGAAATGTAATTCCAGCACTTTCTTTAAACTGGTAGCATCCTTAAGCTAAAACTCATCCCAGTAATGCACAAGAAAATACGATCGTTCACTCAGTGCACTATATAGCAATCCAGGTTTTAATTTAGTTAATAAATCCAGGCTGCATTCCAAGCTGGAAAAAACTTCACAACCGCTGACTGCAAAGCCAGTGAGCGATAGCTGCTGGAATATAGCTCCTTGGCACTGAGAGATGAGCGTATGATGGCCAGGCTGGGAATGCCCCGAAAAAGAACAGCTCTTAGATGGGTACCTTGAGATGGGATCGTGTCCTCAGAACAGCACGGAGTTGTTGTCTGGGTGCTGTAGCCACTGGAGCACTGCAAGGAATCCCGACTGCTCCTCTGCGTGTCCAGCTGCAGCCCTCTCGTCAGAGCGAGTGCCAGCTCCTCACAGGCCTCCATCTCCTCACCCTGCTGGTTATACACAGAAAGGAGACTCATTACGCCTAGAAGGGTCAGTCAATCTTCACCGACCTTCAGCTGTCTCTTCTCCCAAGCAGATATTGTCACCATCGCAACTCAACAGGACTGCGTCCAACCATCTACTAGGGCTTCACAGAAACAGACACTTCTTTGGATGCTGTTGCTCTATAAATGCCAATATCCAACAGCACGTTCTCCCATGCCCACCCGACGACTTTCACTGACCACATCAACACCACACCAGTCCCGCTTGTTAAATAAACGTGCCAACATGGACCGCATCAAAAAAGTACTGGCAGGAGCTAACACATCCACTTCCTTTGCACCAAACAGTGTATTTGAAATTAGAGCTTCACCCTTGTGGCAGCCGACACCGTCATGCTCCGAGGTCTCTGGGCCTCCTCAGGGGGCACGGGTGGTCCGCTCTGAGCTCCTCCGTTGAGATCCGGTTCGCGCTTTTCTTTGCGACGTTGCAATGTGTTCACCATTGGTTGATCGTATGGGCCCGGTTTGGCCCAGTCCTAAGGAAATGTGCTTGTTAGTGATGGCTTTCATCAGTAATTGTGCTTTAATTACAAGTACAATAATGTGAAAGGGCAATTTCAATGCAACAGATTATGTATCAAACTGCATATGTCTTTCTGAATAAGGCTAGTAATAAATTAATTCTGAAGATATTAAAAATCTTCACTTACATAAACCTATCTCCTTTATTACAGAGAATCTATATTTCCTATTCTACCTAAGTGTTCTTATATGAAGATATTTAACATTTTAATACTACAGTTTTCTCTAAATGATATTCCATTGTTAAAGCCTATCTTTTCAGAAATTCAAATGCAAAAATCAGTGGCACACAGCAGAAAATATACATAAAAGTCCAATCAGTGACAGTGTCCAAGCTGTTCTAGGTGTACACAAGTTCTAGTGTTACATGCTGTTATGCACATCTTCAATTCTGAAAAATTAGGCTTTAACAGATTCTTGCTACACATCAGAGGAGCAAGTTACTCTGAGTTATCTCTCAGTTTTCTTACTAGCTGAAATCTAGTTTATAATAATGGTCGGTACTGAAGAAAAAGACTAACTTCACTCTGAATTACTGGTGCCAAATTTGAAACAGAAATTCCTCAGGCCATAAGGGCTATATTCACTCAGGGCTCTATTAAGCAAAGTCCTGAGGGTGTCCAGAAACCACACGTTGCACAAGAAGAGCAGGACTGATCAGTGACCTGTGCTAGGACGCAGAACCACTGCCAAGCAGCAGCTCCCAGATGCGAGGTGCTGCAGGGGCAAGCCCAATCCTAAGAGACTCTTCCTTCACCAAGACAAGAGGTGCTTTAAAAATAAATATAAAAGAAAAAACTTGTGTGTGAGAACAGACCACACACTCCACCACTGGCAGCAGCTGGCTGCTGGGCAGCCTCCGCACAGCCTTCTGGTAAATGATTAATGACAGGCTAAGACCACACTACAGATTTTTACAGACGTGTCTCAGTCCAATGTATGAGAAGCGCAAGGCAGCTGTGCTGACAGAGCTCCTTGTGCAGACAGGTATTTTGGTTTTATTAACACATACGAAACTCTGCTTTGCCTCAACAGTTGTGTCTTTGCTGTAAGTGTTTTGCTGTAAAATATACTGGCAGAGTGCTTCTAGCACAGACACAACTAATGATGCTGAAGCCCCAAGACCACTGTGGCCACCCTGTCTGCACGTCTCAACAGTCTCCAGCTGCTGGAGAGAGAGATTAGGGGGTCTGTAACAAGGTATCTCAGTTTACATTTATAAGAAGGTCCCATGCATATGCAGTATCACTTAACCATCCACAGGCATCTACTGTGCAGCTACTATCAGCTGCGTATCAGCCTTGTGAGGATTCAGGGCAACAGACAAGAGACCTTCTCCCTTTGTTCCAGGGCAGAGTCTCCCAGGGGAATCACCCAGCAGGGATGAGAGCCAAGGCTCTGGCAGAGCAGAGATGTTTTGATGCCAAAGAAGATCCCTGCAGATCCAGCTGGAGCAACTGAAAGAAGTTACTGCACTCTGACTTTTTCAATGGTCTCACCCAAGAGAGCAAAACAAGCTATGTGAGCGCGTTCAGTCATGGCAGTAAAGCTATGACAGCTTCAGTCAGCACTTGGGTTCACTGGATGACGAGCACCTTCTTAAACCACTCCAGCTACATCTACAAAGAGCACGCCTGCCTACGGCCAAAGCGGGGGCCGAGCACAGCCGCCGCAGTGAGAACGTCATGTTGTTCAATGTATGGCTTCGCTAAGCCAACTGGATGCCAAGTCTGCACCTCCCTGCTTCAGTCAGAGCTTTACGGAACTAAACAAGCTCTTTTCTCGCTGAATAGAGCCCAGAGTGCTTTCACCAATGTTCCAAGGCTGAACTATTCCTTCCTACCTAGGTGTTGTCAGCTTCAGTATGTTTTAGGCAGCGCCAGAATAGACAAGGTCATTCAGAAATAGCCACTACAAGATTTTAGCTCTCTGATTATCACCATGCAGTGCCCATTCAGAGTCACATTAAACAGAGCAATCAACAAATAATTACATGGATCGAAAGGCAGCAACAAGCACCGCGTGCACACTGTTGGTATGAGGAGGAGAGGACTGCCACAACAAAAGGAACACAAACCTTCCAGCTAGGGATCTTAGATGATGGTAACATGCCTGGCCCAATGGTGTAATAATGAACGTAGTCTGGAAGGAGGGCTGAGGGAGCCCGAGTCCACGCGCGGGAGACAGGCGGGAAATGAGGGAAAGGACCTGCACCAACTGAAGCTACGGATGGGTCACTTGATAAACTACAGTGATAAAACCCATTAGACAACTGGAAACGAAACAAATAAACAAACAAAAACAGAGAAATTAATATAAACAGAATGAATATGAAAATATACTGTGACTCTGATGTTCTAGGGAGAAAACTTCTGCATCTTAAAACAAAAGAAAGAAAAATCTTAGCTTTGTTGCAAATAAACAACAGAAAATTGATACAATGCTTGGTTCAGAAGTGAGATTGCTTGAAAATTGTTATTTGGTATAACAAATTTCAGACATCAGCCTAGCAGTCACTGTCTCCAGGCTGAGCAGCTTTGCCTTCTGTCCATGAAAGCAGCACACTACGAAAAAGCCTTTGCAATTTAGGTACCCTGCAGATTGCGGACACAGAAAGAAAACATTCCCAATACTGGAGGCATTTGCATTGGTGGCGATTATTGTATGCAGCTGGACAGAGAGGAAAAGCACACAGCCTTCGAACATGACGCGTTCTGGCTGTGTGAAGACATGGAAGGAAAACAAAGAAAAAACCAACAGCAAGGATTTACCAGATGAGAATGGAGACCGCCATCACTTCCTCCCTCAATTCAGAGCATATTCCCCATAATTTATTCCAATCGTGTGTGTTTTGTTTTCTTTTTTGTTTTGGTCAAAACCAAACCCCAATTGCTCAGTGCAATGTGTGCTATCAAATGGGAGAGGGGGAGAAGCCACAAAGAGTACAACCTAGACAAGACGCTTTTTGTTAGGCAACCAGTTTGGTTTGGGCGGTGTTCCACAATCAATGTGAGCAGAAAAGGTGGAAAACGAGCTTGTCTTAGAAAACTACCCCTGTAAAATGCCCAATTTGTAGCAGCTAGTTTGAGGGTAAGTGTTGCTGTGGTTTATTCAGATTCATTTCTAAGGGAGTGTGCAACAGTTCCTATTCTCATCTTCACAGAGAGGAATCCCATGCATGTTTTCTTTTTTTCGTTCAAATGTTGCTGGGTTTGGATAACGAGCTAGTAGGTTTGTATGTCTTTGAGATGAAGTTTTTCACCTTATCTGTGGAGGCCCAAGCCCCCATGGTGGAGCCTGAGCTGACTGAGGTGGGGGAACTGCACTCGCTCACTGACTGGCAGGTTTCAGAGGCTTCTGAAGAGGCAGAGCTGGACGAATTCTGCAGCGTAAAACAGCACCGCAACGCAGGGAAAGGATACACAAGCCACCAAAAAAGAAAAAAAAAACAAACAAAAAAAAGACAAAAAGCACATACACAGAGACACACACACAGGAGAGAGGGAAGGATGAGAGAAGCAGAGGGTTAGGGGTTTAAAAATCATTTAGAAACTGCTCAAAACCATTGCTAATGTTCAGGAAATCTTTGAGAAACAGAACAAGCCATTTGCTTAATGCGAGAACTTGCCACGCTGCTTGAGAATGAGGGAATCGAGGCAGCGATCTCAACTCCTCATTGCCATTTCAGCGTCTCAATTCTGTTAGCTGTCTCAGAGCAAGAAGCTGAGGGAGCTGAGGGAACCTACAGTTCAAACATGCAATATACTAAGACAACTGATTTATACAGAAAAGCAGATCATCAGTACTTCAAAGACACAAAGTTTAGATTTAAAACATGGAGCAGCAAACGTCACTTACATTCACAAGTTCTCGGATATTGTGATCTGCAAAAGTGCTTGTGAAAAGCTCATCTGAGTTCAAATATTATGGAACAGAGAAGAAGTGATACTTACCAAAACTGGAGGTTTCCAAAGTGCATTATCTGTATGCATGTGCCTCTGTGGGTAGGATGCATACACCAAAAGCACACTGACCCAAACTTTTCTGCCCAGTAGTCAAGATGAAGGTACATGTACTCTGCTGAGTGCGTAAGTGGCGGCATGTGCTTGCCAGCCGCTTTCTCTTAACAGCAGAGAGAGAAAGTATCAGGTGCTTGGATGGAGAGCAAAGAAAAATGCAGTGTCTATCGGAAAACGCAGTGTCTATCAAACACTTCAAGCATTTTGCTCCTAGCTAGGAACTTCTCTTCCAATTCTCAGTGCACACCTTTATGTACATTTGCTGCTGTGAGATCTCTATAGAAGTATCTAATTCACATCCAGGTGGGCCAAGGTGAATAACCACGTGGACCATTTTAACGATTACAATGCTCTTACACATCTGCCCCTTGAAAGTGTCATCCCCCTCAGTAGGAGTGTGCTTGCAGGTCCAAGTGAGTGCTTGGAAATGGTCAAGAATACTGGCAAAGTTGTCAGGGCAGTACCGAGCTCTAGTCAGTGTCAAGAAATTCAACACTAGCAAGACTAATTCATCCTTCAGTAGTCCAAGACCTGTGAAGCAAGTCTATCTAAGGATATTCCCAGCATTTTATTTTACGACAGCAGAGAGAACGTGCTCTTGTATCAAGTTTGCATAGCAAAGCCTCAGATTTCAAGGAGTGACATTTTGAAGAGGAAGGGAAATCTCACCTGAAATAAAATGTCATCAGTTAACCTTAGATGAGATCCTGACGTGAGTTTGCAATAAAAAGACAGACGGAAAAGAAGCACTGTAGAGTCGTAATTACTGCCAACACCCAGAAATCATCTCAGTGCTCACCAGAAGCTACATATAAGGAATACAGCTAATTGTCTAGGTGAAAGGAGAACTCGTTCTCCTGAAATGGACCACCACCACCACAAGGATTTTGGTGAAGCCTACTGGGGCTGTTGAGCATCTTCAGCTGATTAGCAAACTGTGAGTTTAAGTGAAACTTTGCAAAGGCTGTTAAAAAATTTTAAAAAGCATGTAATGTGGTGGATTATTGTATAGAAATAATAGACATCCCATCTTATGCTGACATGAGATCAGACCTGCGGGTGACCTGTCAACTGTGTTTATGGTACAACTAAGCTCAGCTAACAAGGCTTGTATTCAAAGTGCAGTAAGAGTAGAGGCAAACATAAGATCAGAAGAAACTACAACAAATGACATGTAGCTGTTAAGGAGAGAAGGGAAAAGTACACAGTGGGGTACCTGATGATGCAGCGGCTTGATGTTTTGTGGAACCTGTCACGTTCTTGATTTAATGCAACTCCTTTTACAGGAGAAAAACCTCTAAAAATAAGAATACTGACAAACGTCAGCTGCAGTTGACTCTGTCATCAGACACAACCACAGTACACTAAATGGAGATGAGCCTATTTCTTCTATCCCTAGAGCAGAATAAATTATAGAAAATTAGCTTTTACACTAAAACTCCAGAGTTCTGAAAAGCCCCATGAGAACACTCATGCTACTGTTACACTTTGGCCAGGATAAAAAAAGAAGAGAGAAAAATGTTATTTCAGAAAATGCTTTCTGAAACCTCATGCTTACGGCCTGAAAGACCCTCCTGGGTCTGCACACTCTACACGTGGCTGGACAGACAGTGAAGGGTCTGAGTTCCAAATACAGTACCATGACACCACCCTTTCTGCAGATGCTCCAGTGATGACAAATGAGAATTTGGAGCTTACAACCGATGGACTATTACTGTTTACAAGCCAGAAACGTAACGAGATTATGTCAAGTAATGGTAGAAATGGGTCATAAATGAGTTTTACTAGCAACAAAGCTGCATATAGCAAATAGATGGAAAAAGGCCAAAAATGCAGATTCTGAAGATGCAACGAATTTGATTTACTTGGTGTATGGGGAAAAAAAATGGAAGTCGTAAACTTATTTTTGCAATAAAGTGACTCCAAGGTGAAAAAAGGATGAAAGAAAGGACTCTCCCACTAACTCAGTGTGGCCGTTTTCAGCAGGCAAGGCTAGACAAAGGATGAACCAAGATGCCACAGGGAAAACACCTTGGCAGTTGAAGGAAATGCAAGCAGTGATAGGAGGGAAAGATTTTGAAAGAGGGTCTCCTCATCTTGAGAAACTTGCATAGCACAAGGAAGGAGAGCTAAAAAAGGATTACAACAGCGAGAAAATGATGGAGAGGGAGGCAGAATACTAAACTCCCGAAGGAAAAGTGTGAAGAAAACATGAGTGGCGGCAGGTCACAGACTGCCTAGATCGGACTGCAGAAACAGATCCGGGTGTGGGAAGCACAGACCACCCTTCATTTCTTAGAAAGTACACGAGGGGCTGAAAATAGGAACTGCACAGTTACTGCCTGGGCAAAAAGCCTCCAAGATTTTGAGCGATGGTTCTAGATGCACACCCACCAGCACACGTGCTCCTGGGAGCACACGCACAGGCAAACACCGGGCAGAGCAATTTCTGTTTCACATGCTGTGGAGTGAGAAACTTGACTGGGGTCTTTTTAACTTATTTCAGTTGGTTTCTTTTTAAAATGATTCTTTAGTTTTAATCGTTTTTAAAATTAGTTCTTTCATTTTAGCTATTTTAACCCTGGGAGATTACTTTTTTTCCCCATAGCTGCAATAATGGTGGTTCTGCTCTGCTCTCAAACCATCTCTTCTGTGAAGAAGCTTAAGAGTTACCAGTATCAGCAGGGAGTTAAAATTCTGCTCTGCACAGTAACAACCAGTTACTCAAACGCACATTACATGTATGTAGCTTGGTATCTGGTCTCTCAGACATTGTGCCATGGCTTGTTCTTGGATAGCGTTCCACTTCTTGGTGTAGTATGTATGTATTCCAGCAAGGATATTAAAAAATAAAAGCTGTATTTTGGACTACTGGAGTGTATGACTATATTTTCCATCTGTTGTCCTACTAACCTATAAAAGGACTGCAGTTATCTTCGACTACCTGCAATCTTTGTTTCCTATGTTTTCCATTCAAATATAGTATTGTTTCTTAAACCATTCCCGTCCTGGGCAAGGGTTTTCCAGGAGACCAAATTCTACTGAAGAGCTTGAGCTTGGTCCAATGTCCCTGCCTTCACAGTCAGTGGAAGATGTCTCAGTTACCTTTCAAAAAGCTTTGGATAGTGACTCCATGTCACCTCCTTAATTCATCTCACTTCCAGGATCATGCCTGTACTAACCCCTCTTTTTCAGTCAGGAGCAAACTGTTGGGAAACTTAACTTAAAAAAGGAAGTTTAGGAGAAACAAGTTCCTGGTGACAATTTACAGATGCATTTCAGTTACTTTGAGTGTTTATTTGTTTTGGGTTTTTTTTTGGAGGTCTGATTTGGGAGCATTCTTAACTTACATAGAAAACTTAATAGTTGTAACAATGTATTTCCCCTATTCTAACTTCAAGCTATTTCAAGCAATGGAGTCTCCTCAAAAGCCGAATCTTTCCAGCTTGCTAATCTCTACATGCAGAAGAAAGCTCACATTCAGTTTCCCTCTACTTCACTGATTAGGGAAAGTGATTTCCAGAATATTCTAACAATAAAGACTCAGTCCTCTGCTCTTTGACAGCACATCAACAGTTTTTTCTCTTCTTCATCTGCTTCGTTCTCTCCCCTTGCTTTCATCTCCATAAAGTCATAAGTAGCCTCTAAAATCCAACTGTATAATTGCTTCCCGTGTGTGTGTTCTCTCCAAGTCCAGTGGATCCTTCTATTATTATCCCCCTAAATCAAACACAGCTCTACTACTACCATATTACTTTATGGCAGATACTCCCAGACCTCAGTTTGTCCACTAACTAGGGCAACGTGTGGGTTTAGCAGCACCAGCCAAGTTCAACGTTCATCCAAGAGTTACCCTGTGCTCCCAGCAGCAGGTCCATCAGAAGGGCTTTACATGGTGTCAGCACATGCCATGGGCAACGCTGGCCAGGGCTGACCTCAAATCCAGCATTTAGAGAAACTGTTCCACTCCAGAGAGAGACCTGTGATGCTTTTCCAGCTGTTCAGCTATACCCAAATGTACTTGCTTAATAAAGATTAAAGCATTTTACGTGACCTTTCCACATGTACAGCTATCTGTTCCAGGCTAACACTTACACTCCTGGTGACGTTAACAGCAAAGCTGCAGAAAAGAGATGGCACTAAACCAGCGTCAGGGCAGAGGTCGGTTTTATAACTGCTCTTTTTCCTGTCTTCTGTGAAGAGTGTGGCAACTGTAAAGACTGACTACTCAGCAACTGAAGGCTGAAAAGCAGTCTTCATTCTACCAGTCATCTCTCCTCTGGTATAGTCTGTATCTTGTTTAAATCTCTCCCTATTCCTTGTTTGAGATTTTCCCCCTCTATCTGATTTTGAACAAAATCAGTTTAATTTCCAGTGACGCTTGTCTACAATGTGGGTGAGAGCATAAAAGCTTCACATAGCTCCTATATTCTCATTCCCATAACATGGTAATTTTGTGTAGCCCCCTTCTACTTTTCTTTTTAAAACTCCTTATTAAAAGACAATGGGCTTTGTTGCCCCACTAGATGCCACATGTAGCTAGCAAACATCAGCAAAGTGTCCACCTGTGCCAGATATATAGCTTTTAATTTCCTGTGTTGATTCCAGAGCTTGCTTTTCTGCTCTTGCAGTGACACTACTAGAAACAATGCCACCAGTGTTTCAGAAACAGTCAGCAGCTGATAGCGCTGCTCCTCCCCACCCACCACCGAACCAAAAGCACATTGCCACAAGGAAGATCTGTCAGTTGGTTAGAGACACACAACATGAAATAACGCTGTAAATTGAACAGCTTCTCGGAAAGCTCACAATCACAAGTATCTGTCAGCACAACACACACATTTTCCTTAGTGCTGAACATACAAAGCAAGACACTTAAGCAAAGATGAAGCGGCCAGGCAATGATCTGTTACCTTTTCCTCTGCGTAAAGGTATACAGAACCAGAGACATACAGAGCACACACCTACTTGTTATACCAACACACTACACTTGTCAAGTCAATGGCACACTGCTGCAGCCTTCTACAGCTCAGGAATAGCTCAAGTGATGCTTGGATCAGTTTGCAACTTTACGGACAGTTTCTACAATGAAGTGAAAGCATATGAACTTAGCTGGTGTAAATCAGCATGACTCCCATCGACTTTCAGGATGTTCTGTCAGCTGATACCAGCCTAAGTTCCCTCTCCTCGGCTTAACAGGGGAACTTGCAAAGAGAGGTGTTGGGTTTCTTCCATGCTAAGGGCCATTGCGAAGTTACATCCTCATCTGCAAACACAGCATCATCCTGTACCGCCCTTTTATGCAGGTGCAGGGGATACTATGAAAAACAAAGATGATGCTAGAATATGTTACTGATGTATGCATCTTAAAAGCCAACTTCCTTACCTTGTTACTATTTCAGTTTACTTTATTATTGCTCGTTTACTTTTTTTGCATTTCACTTAGGTTAGCTATAGCCAATCTAAACAAAACATTCATTTTTATTAGTGTGGAAAAAGTTCTTCAGGTTGTCAGCTATAAAAAATTGCTGTGCAGGTGATACTTGGTAGCCGCTCACACTGAAATTGTTGGCCGCTTGCTCATTGTGAGGATTCAATTTATCATGGCCCACAAAACATCTACTCCTCAACACATGAAAAGGAGTGCAACTACATTTATTAAACTAAAGGACAATCCTCTCCAGTGACCTCAGGGTGTATTAAAAATGAGTTATACTCAGCAACACGACATTAGGTCTCCTTCAGTTTGTAACTAAGATTTACAATGGTATTTATAATGTGAGATGGCCATTCGGCCTTGTTTACAAAATATTTCAGCTGCCGTGTGATTTGTAAAAAAAAACCAAAAAAACCCAAAAAATAAAAGAGAAGAGAATTCAGGTGCTGGAAGATACACACCACGGAGGCATGCAAACCTCTGCCTGCACGTGGCCAGCTAGTTTTTATAGGAATGATGCCACAAACAAACAGAGCAGCAACTTCCTTCTGCAGACCAAAGAACGCTTTGGAAAAGTTTTGCTTGTATTTATAGTGAAATCCTCTTAGTTTGACTGAGTTCAGGACATTATCCTATATGACGATCACTCATTTCTTATGAGTTCTATAAAGAACTAAAAATCTCTCTCGTTTTCATGCAGAAGCTTTATTTCTGCAAGGTGCTCAATCGAGAGTCAAAACCAGCAAGCCTATACACAGAAAGAGACGTCATAAAAACCAGCAAATCAATTTCATATGATACTGCTAATGGCATTTTGAGTATTCCAGGCCCTTTGCAGGGGAGGAATAAAAGTAGTCTCTCTGATGCCAAAGCCACCAGTATCAATACTAAGGCTGTCAGAAGGCTGTTCTGGCACTGTCCATTAAACAGTAAACAGCCACCAGCTATTAACAGCTTGCAATCTATGCAGGATATTAACTGGTAACCTCAGTGGCTAACGTAAATATTTATTCCCTCCTGCAAGGCGGGACTTCTTGCTCTTTCTCGTCTGTACCTATCTGAAAGTTGGGCATCCAGGCTCCCTCCAGGGCCAGAGAGAAAACCAAATCCCCCGAGAGCAACTAATCTGTTTCTTTAGGGCTAACTGCAAAAGCAGCATAAATCACTTCAGCTAGAGGCCCAACTTTTAGATAGATGAAGTGCAGTGAGACAAACCTTACCCTCCGTGTTTAACCTGACTCCAAGGTACCCCAAAACCACACCAGATCCTTTTTGTGAAAGGTGAGCCAAATTACAAAGTCCAGCTCACACTCAGGTTTTTGTTCTCATGCTTGCACGTACCTGGTTAGGTGCTTCTGGTGGCATGGGGGATGGCGATTTGGACTGGAAAGCATCCTGGGACATGAATCCAGAATCATGGGAGGACACACTGGACAGCCTCATGGGTGCCTGCTGAGGCAGATTGGAGCTGCGATAGCGATAGTGTGAACTAGGTGAGTGCGAGTGCGAGCCACTGGACCGGGAATCACTACTGTTAACGCTGTTCAGACTGCTGTGAGAGACAAAAGGAACAAAGAAAGGAAAGGGGAGAGGAAAAGACACAAGGGCGGGGTGGGGAGAGACCCATATACAGTACAATTAACATTCCACATGTCCACAGGCAGCATAAACCGGAAAAAAAAATGTTGAAAAATTAAATATATATATATATATGCACATATATATCAGTAAAGAACTGTAAGCAGCTGCAGTATCCCTTGCAATCAGAGAGAAAATGGCATTTTTACCACTCAGAGTTCAGAGTCAGGTTAGGGACGAAGGGATCACTACATGCTCTCTCTAGCATTTGTACAGCACTTGCACAAAAAATGTCTGTTGACAGATTATCTCCTATTATTGACTTACACCTTGTTGCTCTTGCACCACGGCCCAAATTTTCAGGGGGATCGCTAGCAGGGGTCCAAAGGCACCACAGTTCATCTAAAAGTCTGCCTCTAGGCATGCTGTTGCAGTCAGTCAGCAGGCCAACGTGGGAGACTTTTGAAAGCATCACCAAAACCCCACGCTTCAGAGTACCTGGGACAAGTTTTGCTTACATGAAGGCATTCTACCAGAAAAAAAGGACGTGATGGCATATTGAGTGAAGTGAAGCCATTGGGTATGTAGCTTTAGGTAGTATGAAAGATCATCAGAGAATTAGAACCCCAAATTAATATCCATGAAAAAAAAATTTCATTTTTCAAACATAGAGATTGATTTTTAATCTCCAGTATCCATGAATGATAGCAATGACATGCCATCCACAACGTGGGAGCCTTTGAAGTTTCCTGCTGGGGTGGCTGAGCAGGATCAGCAGGATGCATCGATCTGAAGGTAGCTTCCTACCTTCATTGGCAGAAGCCCACTGACTAGCTGAAGGGATGGCTCAGTAGAATATGTGGGTGAGGACCACAATGCCATGTACACAGAAGATGTACAAGTCAGCCTGGAGCAGGGGAAGAGGAGCTCTGCCTTGTTTTAGCCACACATGACAGTCTGTTGCCATACAGGTTTTACTACACAGGAAGATGAGGTTCATTAGGAGCAGATCATGGAACTTTTTGGGTTTTTTGCCATTTTCTTTTACAGCTTCAGGATACTGCATCTTTAAGCCTGTGCTCATTGCTCTAAATATGCATGTTTTCACATATATATATGAAAAACTTCAGTACTTTTCTATATATATCTGCATGCAGAGACAAGTAGGTACACAGAAGTCATGTTCACTTGCTCTGACATGCTATAGGTTAACGTTGCTCATACACAGGGAACCTGTAGTACATTATTCATAAAGCAAACTAAAAGGCAATCATTCAAGGGCAGCTAGAAAGGTGTTGAGCAGAATACACAATAGGGTATCTTCCTTTTCAGTAAAAGGAAAGAGTAAATGTAGACACCAGGGTATGGGGCGACATGCTAATAAACTGTTTTATGAGAGAAAACAGTTTTTACAGAGAAAGCACAGACAGAATCCAGTGTTTCAACATATTTCAGGACAGTATTAGACAGCATTAAACAGTCAAAAAAACTTGTATCAAAAAAGCATTTCCATCTACCAGACTGATAGGGCAATTGCCAAGGATGTTTTTCCTTTTCAAACAGTTTAACTTACTGATTAGTAACAGCTACTTAGAATAATCTAAAAAGTCATCACATGAGAAACAGAAAATAAAATTATGAATGAACAATCTCAGAGCTTAGATCAGTACAGTCTGCTCTTTGATCTGAAACGGATTCAAGAGAATTGAATCGAAAGCACCTTCAAGTTGTCTTCAGTTCAAAAGTTGTTCAGTCATGCCCATCCTTTTTAATATTCCCAGCCACACACTTAAATGGATAAAGACCATGAGGAATTTATTTCATTAAGAGTTGTTATTTAAAATTTAAGTATGCATACAAATCCATACCACAGTCTAAACTTGCCTCCCTTTGCCCCCAAACAGGTTAAAATTAAACATTACCAGTCTACTTACCTGCAAACACTAGATTTTCTGGACATGGTAGTACTGGGAGAGGATGGAGGAGTCTGGTAAGACCAGCTGTAATCAGAACCTTTCAAATCTAAAATTACCTGATGAAAGATAATCAATAGCATCAAGGACGTGGAAATTTTTTTCCCCCTATTAACCGAAAGTATCTGTTTGTCATACAACATTCATCACCACTACAAACTTTCAGTGCCAACTGACCCAGTCTCAGTTCTTTTCCAGAATTACACTGTGTGTATTACACAGGAGAGTCAGCTTCATCCTTGGCTTTCCAGGAACTACCATGCAACACTAGGGCTGCTATCACAGAAGGAAAGTCCAGATTTTAATGGAAAAATCTTTAAAAAGTAAACTGGAGATTTATTTTGCCCATGCTGTAAGCTGTTTTGTTTTGGTTTTCCTTAAAAAAAAATTACAACTTTAAACTTTTAAAACTTCCATTTAAAAAAAAAATAATCAAAGATCCAACACTCAACCCCAGCAGAGCTTCCCTCCTTTACACCCCTAGGTCAACAATAAGGTGATTAAGGTATGACAAGAAAACTGAGTGCACACAGCAGGGCTGGAGAAAAAGGCGCTATTTGGAGTTATTTAACAATACACATTTTCTGCTATGCATTTTAAAGATAGCATGGAAAAATGTTCAAATGTTAGACTCCATCGAGCCATCTAATCCCAGCAATCTTGTGACCACATAAAGACAGGGATCCTCCAATGCAGGGCGAGGAGGCGACACTCAGCAGAAATTGGGCATCTTCATAGACTTCAAAGTGCTACTGCTCCCACTTCACACTGGTCTCACCAAGTACTTCAGGAGTACTCAGTTGGTACTTCAAAATAAAGTTTTTTAAATTGCTGATGTTAAAAACTACCTTGCTGCAGTGAAGCATCTCCAAAACATAACACAAGCCACTAAATACTAGTAGTCAGAATTTCTTATAACACAAAAGGAAAACTGGTACAAACTACAAATAAAGATGTTTTCCAGGTAACAAGAGCTAACCTGTTCACTTGAAGATGGCAATTTGTGTGGATCCATAGTGAGACTTTTCAGGTCATCTGATATGGTTTGTAAATGGGTTATTTCTCCTAGCATTGATATTTCTTCTTCCTGAAAAGGCAAAAGAGCAAGGCTAATCACAGCCTTGGTTTTAAAAATCAGACCCATAACACACTACACAACCTTTTTCTTTTTGCTGATGACTGTGGGAATGCCCAGCAGAGTTGTTTTTTGACCATTAAGCAATTGCTACTTATGAAAGAGAGTTGGAAATATTAATTTAGAGTTTTATAACTGCTTTAAGATTGCTGTAAGTACTGAGGCTCAGAAACTCTTTCTCTCATCAGTGAGAGAAGTGTCAGCCTTCTTTTTGTGACATTTGCAGAAAAAGAGCGTAATTTTTGCTGCGTTTGGAAAAGATTTAACTCTTCTATGTATACTCACTAATGTGCCCTAAGGATTCTAACCTTGAACCTAAACAGGTGTTAAACTTGTACTTTTTACTAGTTCTTGGAAACTTTGAGATAAAGGCACTGTACAGGTACAGAGCATTAATGCACCTACGATTCATCCTGGCTTAAGCCACATCAACAGCTAACTCATCTGAGTCCTGCACCGTAAGTTACCATAGTAATTCCTTAGCTACCATGGTAATTTCACCCAGGTCCTCAGAGCCTGCAACTCACGTCCTCCTGCTCAGTCACAACCTCCCTATTTCTCTAACCATGGTTTTCTCTTGAGACTGATGCTCCTTGTAAACAGGCATTGGGAACGTTTTCCCAGGACGTGGAGACCCTTCAGAAATGCATCACACTTGCACAAAGCCACAAACGATTCATCACCAAGCTTCAGACAACCTGAGATTATGAAAATATACTTAAACCTTTTCAATGAACTGAAAAAGCTGTCATGTAGGAGGAAAAGAGCTGCCAGAAAACTGCATGGAAGCCGCCTGCAATCTGTCAGATAATGTCATTATATGCACAGGGGAGGTCTTGAAACATTTATCAGTCCTAGCACTGGAGTAGGAGTAAGGAAGATTTATATTAAAATGTGATGTTAAGAAAAAGAGCAGTGGAAAAAACTGCATTAGCAATGTCTTGGGTCAGTATGCATAGGGAACTCAAGCCCACTTAAGCCTTTGTGCCCATTGTTTTCCCATTAGTCATCTTGAAAGCAGCGTCTGAATTACTCCAAACGCCTACAAGAACTAGAGCCCAACTCTCGCCGCTTCCTAGGCAGAGACGCAGGTTGAATTTTGGCTAGTTTCTGTGACTTTAGAGATTTATTCCTAAAACATCACAAGCTACTCTTTAAAGGCTTTTGGCCACTTATCCAATTTGTGAATTGTACCAACTTAGAACGGAGAGCTCTTACTATCACGGGTCGCAGCATCGAGATGAAAGCACAGAATCGACCGCGCTCCTCGATCAGAGCTTTTCTGACAGCTTGCTTCTCGGTTTCTTCAAGCAGCAGGTACTTATCATTGACATCTTGTAAAGCACTATCCAGCTGGGGCTGAATGTCACCCCGTCCTGTATGCAGGAAACAATCAAGAGCACATTTTGTCAAAACTGTGGATCTCTGAAGAGGAAGACCTTATTTTCAGCCAGCACTGCTGCTGCATTGTACTTTTGCAATTCAAGTTTCAACCAGCGTTTTCCCTTAATTCAATTTTTTTTCCCAATTTAATCATGCATTTCATAGCATTTAGGTTTTTTTCCTTTTGCATATAATAGAAATCCATCTCAGTTCAAAAGGTTTCAACAAGACAAAGACAGCATTTTACATAATTTTCTCAAAGTGTCAGCTGTATAAATCCTTCTCACTGTCCTTGCTGAAAATCAACATCTTACTAATTGGGAGGATGTTAATCACTAACCCCAGGCGTATTCCTCTTCCTTCCTACTTTTGTGCTTAGTGAGGCCCTAATGACAACTTTGTAGAGTCATTAAAGGATTGAATGAATTTCCTATATGAGATATTAGGAACACGTTATCGATTATCAGACCACTGGATTCAAATACTTTACACAACCAACTGCTAAAATAGTTTTCTTTGTTCCAAAGTCCAAAAGAAAAAAAAAAATTGACTTCTCAAATACATATTAATATCCAGTATTTGTCTATGGAAGTAAAAAAATCCAATGTTTTGCAACCAAAAAGGTTCACTGTGTTAATTACAGTAAACTCATAATACCAAAACTTGCTGTGACAGTCAACTATCTTATTCTGCACCAACTGCTTACTCTGCATCATGCTAAAAATTCACTCCTCTGGGAGTGAAGAGCTGCTGCTTAGCCGTAGTATTACTGAGTCAACAAGGTTGCAGTTGCAAGACGTTTTCACGCAGCTGACACCCCTAAATATTCTAAAGAACCTCAGTTGTGTAAATTTGACTCAAATCTCCCAGAAATATTATCATCACATGCAAATTAAGTATCCAGGTACATATTCATGCCACTCTTGATAAATACCAGGAAGATAACATTGAAAAATGGTGGGTGAGTTACAAGCAGTTACTCAAAATCAATTTTTACGGACAATAAACTTTCTGCACAGGGGATTTAAACCTATGAGCAAGAGGAGGAAAAAAGTCTCTTGATGCGTGTGGTACACAGTGCAGATGAATCAAGGTCAGCCAGAGTTACAAAGAAAAACCTTTGCCTAATTATCATACGTATTTCTTCATTACTCCAGAGTGAGGTGAAGTCATCAGCAACCCTGCACTAGTGCACAGCCAGAGATGCAGGAAAGACAGCAGCGATGAAAGCCAGGCAGAATCACACTGGCTTGGTGCCATTACAGTCTGGATACATTCAAATGTCCCCTGAACACAGTTAGACAAAACTGCACGGACACCCACAAGCAGAGCTCTGTGATAGATCCTCAATGAACCATGTGCCGTGCAACACTGTCACGGCCAATGCCAAGGCCACCTGGGTACCAAACCGCCAGCAGGAAGACCCAGTGTCTGATCCTCTAGAACAGGCTGACCAGTGCAATGTGGTCATAAACACAACTATTTCAACTATTTTGGAAGTAAGTAACTTAAAAAATGACTGACTCTGAAGTTGCAGTCACCTGCTCCCTCTCAAAATTAGCATCTGCCAGAAACAAGTTATAGAAGAGTTTTGGATAACTCCCTGAACGTCCTGTGCTTTCTCATCCATCATCCTTAGGAGACAAACCGGGCCCTTCTGCTTGAAGACCATTCTGTACATTTCAGGCCTTTCCCTATATTCTCCCTTGCTATCAGATGCAGCAATTAAACGTTTTATACCTCCCTGGAGTTGTTCTTTCAAATTCCTGAAACTGAGCCTTGCATTATTGCTCAGACAATTATAACAGGTGAAACAATCTCACACTGTTTAAACCTAGATGCTGGCTCACTAGCCTGGATGTGGCAAATACAAAATATATTAGTTGTGAAGTAAATCCCACACTCCTTAGTTCAGCTCTGGAGAACTACTGTAAACATTCCACTGCTCCACCATATGATGGTGCACTTAACACAGTAAATCCTTGTCAAATGCATTCACCTACGTGGTGAAAACACACACACTTAGAAAGCAACTGGATTCTATTGATGAAGTGGGTTCAATTAGAGTGAATTTTGGTAATTTACGTGGACCTCATGGAGCACCACCGTTTTGGATCAGAGCAATAGAGCACCCAAAACATGGGGCCAAAATAAACTTCATTTACACCTGTGTAACTCACTCAGTTCAACTGTTATTAGGATAATGTTTAAGCTGTGTATTTTAACCCTTTGGCAAAAGCACGTGTAAAACTGCATCGCTCCCCAGCATCCTCTGTATCTCTATGAAGTTTCTGTTTTATTCCTTTAACTGAATCAGGACATTAAGAGACATACCATCTCCTCACCGCTTTTATTGACATGTTTTCACACTAGGGCTGCTGGGCACCTGCGTAGCCAGTGAAAACACACAAGCTGTCCAGGGTATAATTCAGAGCAGGAAACAAGCGTAGGTGAATCACTTGGATGAGGCTCTGAAGTCAGATGTTTACATGGTATGAATACAGCTCTCTCCTGATGCCTCCTTGCAATCTTTTAGAAGCAGGAAAGCTTTATTAACATCCTTTGAAAGCTCCATAATGCAGACATCAATCTAGCAAGTCTTTTGAAATCAGGCATAACTCTTCCCACTCCCGGAATCGCCAGCTGCCTCCCACAGCACTCAGACAGCTCAGGAATGTGAGGGACGAGATCTCTGCCCAATTTAACCAGTTTCCTTCACCAAGCAGAGTACAGCGCAGCTACACGACAGCACTCCTACATCCAGAGGACACCAAGGATGTGATCACCTCTGCTCCTCACCCACTTTGGGTCTCCGTGAGTCTGAATCCACTACTTATCTCAGAAGGGAACACTGATACTGGAGAGCAATGAAGTCCTTTCCCCCTTTTAATTATGAGGGGAAGGTGACTTGTCTATGGCAGCCCTGACAACTGATTGTGCTATTTTTGCTGTGGACATGGGGCACGCTTTTATAAAGAACATCAGCAACTGATTACTCTCTCTAGCCCACATTCTCTGGGCTTAGGTTACCTATTTGGAAACACTTCCAAACCAACACAACTATGGTAATGACAGAAAATAGTTCCAGAACAGTCTCATCATGAAGCAGCTGGAGAAGTGAACCTGGAAGGACACTCCTACCCTAGCTGCAGACAAGTTTGAATGACCCACCAAAGCAATTAGTGTTAGAAATGGTCAAAAGCACCAAGCATAAATCACAGGCCTCTGGCGTGGAACCAGCCAGACATGAACATAACGTAGGGATAGCTCTGCAGAGCATGTCCAGTTGCACTTGAAGAATGAGTCAACAATGTGAAAACCAAGAAGAAACTCAAAACCAGTCTTCCTCAAAGTGGAGCTCTGCTGCTGCAGAGAGGAGCTGGAATACAGGACCAGAAGTTGCAGACTGACTTCTTGAGCAGCACCATGCTCCAACAGCTCTGAGACATGCAGCTTGACACGAGCAAGTAACAGCTAATGAACTGCAGAGAGCTAAACGGCTTCTCATCAATATTAACATGAATCCACAGCAACTCCAAGGACAGTCTTAATATGCAACCTTCAGAACAGGTGCTTCACATTGTTATGACGACATGCAAGAGCTTTAAAGGACCAAAATGCATTAAAAGTCCAGTTTTACAGTGTTCTGTGTGAATTCCAGCTGAAAGCCTCATGCAGCTTTTTAAATAAACATTGTTCGAAAAGAACTTTGCTAAGGGAAATGTATTAGGGAGAAGAAAAAAGATAAATCTAATTTTTAACCTAATTCCATGCCTGTATTTTTTTATAGGACAACTCAAACTAGCAAAGCTGTCAGCAACAGCAAAGGAGAACGATGCTCTTAGTGCAAGTCTGACTAATAAAGTTAATTCTGTTATTGACAAAGCAATATAGCAAATATTGCTGAAATTACGATTTTCTACATTCTCACTGAAAGAGTGCCCTCACACTTTTTTCAGGTGCCTGCACAGAACTTGAATACTCAAGATGGACACTTTACAGAGTGACAGAATTTACACTTTATGAGACAATGCTGAGTACACCTCTACCTGTACAAATCAAAGTAGGCTCCAAGTCACTCATTCCCAAATCACTTTCTTCACAAGAGCATACCTGCTTCATCTGCCAGGATGAACAAGCCCTTTAAGTCCTACACAGTCAAGCCAACAAATAGACTAATATGGATCTAGCCTGAAAACGGCAGAATTCTGCCTCCGTTTACAGAAAGGAGGAAAACCTCATTGCTGGGGTTAACTTCACACCCCTTCAGCAACCAAATCTGAGTCTTTCTGGTGACTACTGGAGATCTGAATCAGCTGCTAATGTTCAAAAATGCTACGTTGTCCCTTAAAAGAAAAGTTCCAAGCTATCAAAGGAAACTTCCACATTGAATTACAAAAGCAGGGAAGACAGAAAATGGGGTTTCAAAAAGGGGGACAAGCAGCAGACACCACAATGCCCAGCTCCAGGAGTCCAGCTGAGGAACTTCGGTTAAGAGTGTCTTGATCTAATCAATCCAGGCTTCTCCAAAGGGTAACACCTACCTCATTACGCCTACAAGTGGAGGTATGATTATTTCTCTCAAATTCAGAAACACCGTGTTTCATTCGCAAGAGGATCTCAAGGCAGCTACTTTAAATTTGCAAAACCACTGAGACAGCACTCCAATTTAAACAGGTTTGAGATGTGATCAGGCAGCAGAAGAGGAGACAACTGTGATGCTGATTTCCACCCTTTCCCCAGCATGAAGTTTGATATAGTGATTTCTTATCTACCAGTTAAGAAAAGTGCATGCGATTTTCAGAAAAAAGGGGGACTTGGATCACAGGTTTACAGAGAACAACACTAAGGACTTTAAGCTCTAGACTTTAAAAGTCATATTTACAATGAGATATTCAATCATTTGAACATCACCTTGATGACGTGTCCATTCCATTTAATTTCTCTCCCAACTGTGAAACAATTTATCAGTGCATGTTAATCCCTTTCTAAA